AGATGTGGTATGATTGAATGTGAGAAACTATCCACCTTAGCCCAATTGACATAGATGTAAGCAACAATAAGTCACCGTACGTTTTTCAATAATTAACGAAACACTTACCCTATATGTACAATTAACCTAAAAGATTTTCCGTTCGATCTGTTCAATCTGTTCAGACTCTTTGGTTTCATGCTCTCAAACGTTTTTTATGTTTACCTTTCCGAACTCTTTGTCTTCAGCGTGTCGAGAACCGGTAAAATCATGTTTTACGTTTTTATTGTAGTATTATGGTTTTTATCAGCTACTTTTGTGGCGTTGTCAGTTTATTTCCGATTTATGAGTTTGAATGTCCATTTGGTATCTTTCGCCTCTCTTTTGTTGCTTAGATAAGGAAGACATTTAGCAGACATATTTCATGACATATTTCATGAAAATATTACACCATAAAGTAATTATTTTCTAATCTTCCATTTTTTTTTGGTATGCAAGACAGGAGTTTCTGTTTGAAAAAGAAACATAAAGGCAACGGTTAATATCTAAATATGTTTCTGATACTATCATTATACATGAACTTGAAGTATTTCAATAAAATAGAAAATCTTTTGTTCGCTTTTTTAGAGTCTAATCATTGATCAGCAAAAAGATACAGGTTTCTATAATTATTCTACAGGTCGACCCCATTTCAATTCTTATGTCATAAATTATTTGCATAGTAATTTCTGAAATGAAAGTAGAACTTGCCAGTCGACAAAACGAACTACTACTACACAAGGACAATTAGGTTTTACAATAGAACATTGATAGTTCAAGGTTCAGTGTATGCTGTAACATTAGAAAACATTTTGTCATAATCTTTGAGGGCGTGCAGCATTTCATGGACAACCACTCGTTTATTAACCTCTGTGGTGACAAAGTAGGTAAAATACATGTACCACAAAATCTATTCTGGGCCAAAAGAATATATTTGTGAGTGCATTTTAAGGCTATTTGACAAATATATTATTTTTCGAGATAACTGAATAGTTCAGGTGCCTCCCGTTTTCGAAATCGAAATTCAAGTACAAAAAAAAATTAAAAATAACACTTTATAAATTGGATGCGTCCGAAGCGCTTTTCTGGATTTACTTTGATCAGGAAAGCGCAAAGCGGAATATTTGAAAGCCAATATGTATAAGAAACGAAACAGTTGAAAAGCTATAATACCCAAAATGGACCTAAAAAAATAGTCAAATCCTTCTAAGGTCAACATTGCCTGAGGGAGATGAAACCTTAGTTTCTTTATATAATTGAAATTGATAAATTGACGATTTTAGAACCATTCATCTTTTGGGTTTTTTGTGTCGTTTGGTTGTTGTCTCGTAAACGAATGTCTATAATTTGTGTGTATTTATCCACATTATTAGTTGTTATGGTTCAAGTATTTCAAACACTCTTTTCTTAGGATAGAAACAATAATTAAATATTCTGAGCATATAACTGATACTGTATAGCATTCCAGTAGCGCCTGCATACGGAGTATATATCTCCCAGTTGATACGATACTCCAGGGCTTGTATTTCCTATCATGATTTCCTTGATAGAGGATTGCCGCTCACATGGAAGCAATTAAACTAAGAGTTCCAAGTGGTGAAGTTGAAATCACCCCTTCGTAAATTTTACGGACGCCATCACGCGTTGGTTGACCGTTACGGAATATCCGTTTCACAGATGATAGCGGATATGTTCCTAATGTCGTAACTATAATCCCGTCCCCTTTTCCCGAATGTGACCTACCGAATAAGAATTATTACCGGGTTTGTACTAACATGAGCAACACGACGGGTGCCACCTGTGGAGCAGGATACGCTTACTCTTCCGGAGCACCTGAGATCACCCCCAGTTTTTGTTGGGGTTCGTGTTGCTCAGTCTTTAGTTTTCTATGTTCTGTTTTGTGTACTATTGTTAAATAAAATTGAGAATGGAAATGGGGAATGTGTCAAAGAGACAACAACCCGACCACAGAACAGACAACAGCAGAAGGCCACCAACAGGTCTTCAATGCAGCGAGAAATTCCCGCACCCGGAGGCGTCCTTCAGCTGGCCCCTAAACAAATATAAATACTAGTTCAGTGATAATGAACGCCATACTAAACTCCAAATTGTACACAAGAAACTAAAATTAAAAATAATACAAGACTAACAAAGGCTAGAGGCTCCTGACTTGGGACAGGCGCAAAAATGCGGCGGGGTTAAACATGTTTAGTCTGTTTTTCTTTTTCTTTTTTAGCCATGGCGTTGTCAGTTTATTTTCGACTTATGAGTTTGAATGTCATTTGGTATCTTTCGCCTCTCTTGTATATCATGGTCTGTAAATATAATCATATAAGAAGAAACTAATACACCAGTTAATATTTTTTCATATTTTCTTTACAGTGTGTATATTTTCTGAGCCATATTCCTTCAGTTTTAGTTCTATTAAGTTTTAGACCAAGTTACCAAATGTCTAGAACAGAGTGGTATCATTTGCTAGTACATTAATTAGTAAAAGAAATATAATTTTCTGATAACTAATTACCAAAAATAGAAGATGTAGTACGATTCCCAATGAGACACTTGTCCACCAAAAACAGAATGACGTAGACGCCACCGTACAACCATGAACTATGAACAAACCCTAAATAGTCTGCTCTGATCACGTATTTCATTCACGATCGAAAAAAACGCGTTTCCTGATCTCTCACGACAACTTTGATTGAAAAGGAGGAAACAATTCTTTTAAAAAATAATCTGAACCTTTCCGAGGAAAACAATTCTATCTGACACACACAAGATTTAGTTTCAAATATATCATAATATATTGATATATGACCATTATATATTCAAAATTTGTTTCTTTCTTTAATGATTTGCTTAGTATTATGTGTCCCTTTTTTGTTTTCTTAAAAAAGTTCTGCATAATTTCTCTACATAAGTGCACAGAACCATTGAGGAAGTTAAACCGTTTTGACAGACATATTCTTATTCTTTTTTTCCCGCCTTTTGATAATTCAACGGATATTTTCCCGTATTTTAAAGTTGAGTTGTATTTAATTCCATTCACGATCCAAAAAAAATATGTACAAACAAATTCGAAAAATATATCAGGTCATCAATTTTCGGAGTATTCCACATAGTTCTTAGCAGGTTACAATTTCCCAGAGTATAAATATCTTTCACATCCAAGTTTTCGAGTACACCTATGGACTCTTGTCACGTGAACGGTCAATATAGAAATATCGTCTTTTCGTGAATAAACTATTCAAAAGTCAAAGATAAATACTGCTACAAAATAGGTTATCCGTTAAACGAGTTTTACTATCTTTTTATACAGTTGGAAGAAACGGCTGTGTCGATATAGATTATTGGTGTTTAAAGGATAATGAACCCTTTTGTTATTTCAATGCTAAACACATGGAAATTTTATAAAAAAATCGCAGCCTTTCCCATTATACTCCTATATTTGACAATTCGGTGCTTAATAGATAGAGGATAATGGCATGCAGTGCTAGCAATGATTTCCAGGATTATTGCATGCAGTGCTAGCAAAGATTTCCACAAAATAATTATATATATAAAGATATTGGAAAAAAACAAGTATAAAAATGGACTTATTCAAGTACACTTTCTAGGGTGCGCTCGACTTTAGTTACTCAGTACGAGTTTTTTTGGATTGTAAAGGTTGTTTAGGACTGTTTGTAGACAATTAATGCTAGCACATCATGAACAACCAAGTGAGTATTCTATGTTTACAATTTTATAACGAAAATCTCTGTAATAAAGTCTGTGGGTTTCTTGCATATTGTAGCAATTTGAATATTTCATAACAAACAGGCCTACAGAAGATACCATTATCTTAACACTACTTTCAGCATGATTGGCTTTTTCGTGGCGATACATTCTTATTGGTGGAGGAAGACAGAATGCCCGGCGAGAACCACCGACCTATGGTAGCAAAACTGACCATTATAATAACAGATAATATGCTGATTACGTCTCTAATTTTATTTTGAAATTAGTCAAGTCTGTTGTATTTGTTACCCTAGTAAATTTTGAGTTCCTGCAAGGCTACGTTTATAAATGACTTATTCATGAAATTATGATAATATAGTATTATTGGTGTAGAAGATAAGGGGGTTATTAGTTTGTTAGGAAAAGCTTTCAATCGACTAGAATTGGGAAGGGTCCTTGCTTGTTTGCGAAAATTAAATTTGGATTCAAAATTTGGTATGTGGGTAAACATGTTAATACAAGATTCAACAAGATTGCTACACAGTAGTGAACTGCACCTTTGCTATATAGATGAAGATTTAAACTGTGTGTCACAATGTGTAATTATGCCACTACAGTAAAAATATGGTAAAATTCGCATAACTCTCATAAAAATGGTCAAATTAAAATGACGGTATAAGGGGTTCACTTTTACATGACGTTAAGCAGTTGTACCCAGTTTATAAAAAAAAACAGGAAGAATGTTACTGATAAATAACTGACCTTGGTGTACACATGTGTTACTTTATATAGATCTTGTGTATTATGTTAGGTGTGTTTGATGACTTTTTTTTATAATTTTGAATTATATAATTCTATAATTCATAGTGGTAAAAAATGTTATTGTACTTGTATATAACCAGTTTTTCCTGGTCAGGTGTGAGAATCTAACACATGGAGCCTAAGTATGCTGTCCTGTTCTACGAAGGTAATTATAACATGATACTGGAAATAAATGGTGTTGAATTTACTAAACATGTGCGTTTTGAAATGTGCACTCCCTAGGATGCTGCAAGATAAATTTAGTCACCCAAAACGGGAGGTATGCGATGGCAAAGGTGAACTGCCTCTTAATTTGCATATTTTAGTTTATTTTTTTCCCACTTTGTACCAATATAGTTATATCTAAACATTGACAATACTAACTGCTATGATTAGTTTTAATAAGCTGAAGTTCTTTTGCATAAATACTTTAATGTTATTTTAAACACAAAATTGTGAGTAAGTATATATAAATTTATATAAAGAATGCATTGCTGAACAAGTACAAAAAGGTTACAAATTTAGTGCTCTTGGCGTTTTTCTGGAATTAACTTCATCCCGAAGGAAACTATTCGAAACCTTACACAACCTTCATGTCCATTATTTTAACATGGCATTCAGCTCTTTTTCTATCATTTGACAAAGACATTGTCTGTTTTTCCAGGTATTATGAATATTGAATTCACATTCTTCAAATAACCTCCAGTTTTTGAATCCTTTGAATTGCAAGGCTTTTAGCATTTTTTTAATGAGAGTGTTCACATACACCTAAAACAAATGAATAAATAAAATTTCTTCCGTTACATATATATAACACTTTCCCTTTAATGTGAATTGATTAAGGTCACAGATTAAAAGCAGAAAACCTCAATTGTAGTGTTCATCAAAATCCAAAATGTAGGATGATTAAATGAATATGTCATGAACACCGAACACAATTTAATGGGCTTAAATTCAATCTTTAGTACCCTTTTTCATTGTGCTTCATCAATATCATTTTGTGATCATATTATCTGTTTTGCTTTCTGTTCAAACAGGAATGTACATGATCTGGTAGTTCTTACAAATCTTAAGTTCCTTGAACGCACCAAATTTAGAAAGATGTATTTTTCATTTTTTAGCACTGAGCCGATACCGTAGATTGTAAACTGCTAGTCCTAAAGGGTACTATCGGCTCAGTAGTCAGTGTTTTAGTACTGACAATATCAATTAAACTGACAATGCCATGGCAAAAAACGAAAAACGATCAAAAGGCAAACAACAGTACATAGAGAACTAAAGACTGAGCAACATCAAAAACCATGGAAACGACGGATGATACCACAAAGGTCATCGACTGAAGCCGTACGGGTTCATTCAAAATGACACCTCCAGAGTGGTTTCCTTTACTTTATCTTCACTTTATCTGTATGAGTCCACTTCTTTCCTGACATATCAACCATTAAAAACAACAGTACAATGGGTTTTACTTTTCAAGCAGAATTTTCACATCTTTCAGCACATAGTTAGGCAGCCCATGATAATGAAACATTTATGTGCTTGGGCATGACTTCTAGTCAAAGTTTCAATTCAATAAGTCATATGCCCTTTTACTGCACAAAGTTAAAGTAGGTCCGTTTCGGTAGTATATCTCTTCCATTATTCAAGTAATTATACATTCTTGGCTTTCGAAGTTTTGGGTTTGAACGAAGGAAAAACTAGAAAAGCACTTCATGGACTTACTGAATTGATAGAAATTAGAATGTTATTTTAACATTTCATAGAACTTATGACAATTGTTCCCACTTTTACAAAATAGGCAGGCCAATTTTCAAATGCATTACGCCCCTTTTCATGAAAAATGTAAGATGCACCACTGCAAATTTCGAACAACAATTAATATATAGTATATCAAATAATTTGTTTAAATAGAACCATAAAAAGGCTATGTCAAAACGCAGAGAGCATAGATGACGTTAAATGGAAACAACTGGACTGAAGAATACAAGTTTGTGATCATCCTCTCATGTAAATTAGAGGGAACAGTAGTTTATCGATCTATAAAACATACAACCACCGATTTTAATTTCAATTCTATATATTTCTTAGCAAAGACTCATTTCTGTTTAGATATATGAACTAATATATCATATATAGGAGGGGTAAATACGAAAAATACCAGTCGAGCGAAGGACATATTTGCTGATTCAAAGACTTTTTTTGTCAAGAATAGTATTTATCGCAGATACCCTTCTGAACATGAAATATCTGTTTAATTACATCAAATGTCAATAGAGATAGAACATTTTCGAAATATAATTGTAATCTTCTTTCGCTATCAAGACGTTAGCATAAATAGGTCGCATGTACAAAATCAGGTAAAATGGCATATTTTTGTGCATATACCCTGGCAATGTGAACTATGAAGAAAATTCACGAGAATAAAGCAACTACACAAAAAACATACTTTGATGGACAGTTTTCTCATTGGCGATCATACCAGATCTTCTTATTTTTATAGCTATCGATCAATCAAAATCCAGGATATAAGGTGTAATCATGAGACAAATTAGCTCTTTTTCATATCAACTCATATAGCTTGAGTATCCTATTGTTTTGTCCGAATATACTCGTTGTTGGTGTCATACGTTCATGCATTTCAAATAGTTGGGTCTAGCGTTTCTGATTAAGGTAAATCCAGAAAAGCGCTTCGAATAAAAAAAATTTATGAAAGTGCTATTTTCAATATCTACATTGGTTATCATAATTTTACGTCAATATGTTTTGCCTACTGTGTTTTTGCCTATTTTTAATGAAAATGGTGACAATGCCTGATGAGGTTTCAAAGAAACAGCGTAGTTTTTGCAGATCATTGTTTATGTTATAGCCCATTTATCGTCAAACACATTCCTTTTGAATATCTTTATGTTTCGAAAGGATTTTTTTTGTTTTATACTTATACAGTGATAAAATCATTACATTGCCACTTTTTGGAATTGGAATAGAAAAATTAAACATTTACGTACTTTGATTCTTTCTTCCACATCCCATTCTAGTTTATTCTTCACAAATGAACATAAATGTTCCTGCGAATAAAGATAAATTTTATTCTGCTAATTCATGAAATTTTTGACTAAACATCACCGTTTATCCTCTGTGAATTGAAGATGACATCCGTATAGATTGTCAATAGTATTTCAAATTGATAATAAAATTAAAACAGTTAAAATAATTTATGAAAAGAACCACATGAGTTTGATAAAGCAGTTTCTTAGAATCCTGCACAATTGAAAATTCTTCAATATGAAAGTACCGACAACGTTCACAAAATTGTCTCCCATCTTCTAGAATGAAATATATGAGGAGATGATAATTCCTAGAACTCTTTGAAGCCTTTTTTATAAGTATTACATCTGTCGTTATTATTAATAGTAATGGAGAAAAGACATAAAAAAGGATAAATCTAAAACGAGCTTAGTACTGGGACTTTAACATGCAAAATACAAATACAAACATAGATACCTTGCATTTTGATGTGTCATATCTAGTTCCTTCAAGCTACGTGACGTTAAGATCTAAATAATTAAATGTCAATTTGATTGCAATTGGATTAAAGTTTTATAGAAAACCGAATAAATTAGATGTATATACTATTCAAATTAAAATCAGTTGTGAGTGCTGGTAATTTGTAGGTTATTCATGTTGACGCATACGGTCTCGCTCCTTTTGGATTTCATGTGATCCTGTCAGTTTTTGAGTGTTACCTTAATTTGTATCTTCTAAGTACATTTTTGAATTGGAATATCGGTAAACTACTGTTGTCTTAATTTATAATCATATTTAGGCAACAATAAAGAATATGTGAGGGATGAATACATATCAATTAAGTATAATTACCTTAAAATTGTATGATTAATTTCTAATCTTCAAGTTTACAGACGTTTTAATGTTTGCTTTTTCTAATTTTGGGCGTACTTTATGAATGCTATTTCAGAAACACGCATAGTGCGCTTGTGATTCTTAATGAGGTAACAACGTATTACAACACGCTCACCAATATAGAGGTATAGAATTAACTACACGACTTCAATTGCAACACCTTATAACTAGATCAAAAATAGCCGAACACTTTATTAATAAATTCAACAAAATAGCTCAATATCAAATACAACTATGCATGAGATTCGAGACTTGAAAAGACACAGACACAAATTGGTTACTATACTTCTAAATTCAGATTGTATATAACAGTGTCAGTAAGACTGCAAGAAGATGAAATGCAATGAACGTTATAAATAAGTGAACAATTTGAAATGGACTGTCCCCATATTCTTGCTGAAATCAAGTGATAAAAGTTTAGAGCAATAAATGATATCTGAACTGTTAGCTTATTGGGTTTAAATAATAATGAATAAAGTTCATTAGAATAATAAAACACTCCTAAAGCAGACCAGTTGTGAAATATAAATTTCTTATAGAACCAAAACGAAACATTACGATCAAGGAAAGGAAAGGTCGGAATAAATGATTTATATTCCGATTGCAGTCTATTCAAACCCAGACCAGTGGAATATAGACTGACATATGTATAGTACAGTATTATATAATGCATTAGACATGTGTAAAATGACAAATAAACTCATCATAGATACCAGGATTAAAGTTTTGCACGCCAGTCCCGCGTTTCGTCTACAAACAAAAGACTAATCAGTGACGCTTGAATCAAACAAGTTTAAAATGCCAAATAAAGTACGAAGTTAAAGAGCATTAAGGACAAAAATTCCGAAAGGTTTTGCCAAATACAGCTAAGGTAATCTTTTACTGCTATGTCTACAAATTGCATGTTTATCATTAGAAGTTGTTTTCAATATATGTGCAAAAGGATACACAGGGATAATCAGTGTAAGTTACAAACTCAATCAAACACTTGCTGCTTTCGTAATATTTTTCGTTTATGTTCCAAATCCCAGTCTGTAGGTTAACCAATAACTGTAATAGCAGATATCATCAAAATATAATAAACATAATACATCTCGTGCAAAATCTACCTAGAATGAAGTGGAACCTAATACCCAACAGTAAATACATTATAGTCTGAAACGGATCCTTTGATCTTTAAATCGGTTTAATGTCTTTACAGAAAATGCGAAGTCTTGCTATGTGTTTACATTTTTTTCAGATATTTTTCCGTAGTAAAATACAGTGCGATTTAGACATTTTAGATACTGTGAAACTTATACTGTCCAGTCAACTTTTTTACAACTTAACTTTTTGTGAAAATAACACAGCAGAAGTCTCTGGACAATGCTGAATTTAATGCAGTAATACAGATTGACAATAGGATGAAAGACTAGACATGCCTTACTAATTTATTGCTTAGTCTTTTAAGATAGCTTTTATCAAAATGATCGTTTCAGTTCAAACAAAATTTTCTGTTGACCTAATAAATTTCACAATCAGATACTCATTTATTAAATAAACTTAAAATCACTGCCGTAAAGAATTTCGTTTTATCCAATGTATCTTTCTTTGAAAATATTGCAGACGATATTAAAAAAAACAGCATTTGCTTATTTAAGTTGTGGTTGAGAAAAAATGTTTTTTTGGTTACCCGTTCTTATAAATGTAAGAGCCTAATCTGTGTCCCGTGATATCATGAAGTTGAAAATCTTTTGCCATTTGTGAAAGGGTAATCTTTTTAATGTGATGTCACGGAGATCAAATCTGTGAATTCGCCTAAAATATGTTTGGCCATTAACACTGCTTTACATTTAGCTCTTACTTCATGTTACTATACCTATCCTTATAGTCAATTATAACGACTAGTTTATCTTTAAAATTATCATTATAATTGAATAGGATTTCAAGTTTTCCTGCCGAGTGTCCGTGGCTCTCTCCGGGTTCTCTCAGTCAAGATTCTACTTCGTCAAAATTATCTCCCCATTACGCCACCTAATTTTTATAATCGTAAAAACAGAAGCCATTGTAGTGATGACGCGCTGTCAATTTAGCTCTTGAAAACCGATAAATTTATCCACATAGCATCATTACGATCTTTACATGCCAGTTGTATTTTAAAAGCCAAATGTATCTACTACCTATTTAGCATCATTTAATGTACTTTTATGCATTTGGTCAACTTAAAACTATTGTCTGATCGGTTGTCAAGTGAAATTTTCGAAATTTCAAAAATATTTAAAAAATTCTAATTAAATATTTTGTGGAAGAGCTGACTAAAAATTTTCAGCGGTTGAAGACTAATTACCCTAGATTACACACACAAAGAATGAAGTTTTTTCAAAGTTATGCATTTTTAAGATCCACTTGAAAAGTCTGTCGTCAAGTACTTTTAGTAAACATTTGTTATTCGAACACACCTACTCTGTTGTGATGACTCATTAGAAAGGTATTTCACTTTACCCATATATTTCATTTTTTAGTACTGTAAATTTTTAAATGTTATTATATCAACCTTGAGCCTAAATATATAAAAATAATAGAATCTGAAGCGAGATGATGTATCAAATATTCTTCTTCAACGTTTTCAAGACAGAATAGTCAACTTAAACATGACTTGGATGGAGAGTTGTCTCATTGGCACTCATACCACATCTTCTTATATCTACTAAACATAAAAAGGTGTACTCGGCTTTCTCTTTTCGAAGAAATGTTTTGCCCATTTTGGGGATTTTTTCCAAAAAAGCTGCCGCCGGGGTCAGAGATCCAAATTAATGCTTGAAAAAGATCAATTTATTAACTTTCTTTTGAATTTTTTTCGGCGGAAGTTATGCTTATGCACAAAAAAGATCCACATGTATTTGCCCCTACCACAATCGACTGTCTCGAAGCTCCATACCATAATTTAAGTAAAAACACATACATAAGATGCATGAAATCCTACATTATGCACTTTCATTAAACTTTTAAAGCCCATAGAAACAGATGTAAACAATTCAAATTTACCAACTTGGCCTTTATTGCCTTCTCTAACAAAGATTTCCATATCTTTTGTTTAATTTCAACTGGGTTTCCGCCTGTTTGTTTTTCTTCACCTATTAGAATTATCCACCATGATATAGCTGTGGTAAATTGCAATTTACAGCAACTATCAATCAATCCTCTCATTATAAGCAATGCAATAACAACAAAAATGTACCTTCATGTATATGCATTTATAACGACTTTGTTGTGCTCGTTTTTATTGTTGGACTTCAGATCTGTCAAGTGCAAGTTGACTCAATATCAACCAATGTTTATGGAATAAAACCACTAATTCATAGCTTCACTGCTTTCAATGTTAAATTATGCAGGGTTAAATAAAGAAACAGTCATTTCATATCAAAACTATACCTTATCCTGACTTGTGCTAAATAATTTAACATAACTTTAATTGCATATTAAAATAGGTTCCTGGAAGTTAGGTAATACAAAAACAGTTACTTCTAATCTGAAAAATAGGGCAAATATTACCTCCTATCATAATTTCGGATACTTATTTTTATATTCAAGAGAAATTTAAATCACGGGTTATGCAGTGATCCCAAGTCCTTAAGCTTGAATTACCCTAATGTTTTACTTTTCGACAAAGCTAACATATGATTTAAAGGTCTGAGCAATGATTGCGATCTCGTTTGCTATGAAGAACAAATACTTTATGCCGCTGCTAGTATTTTATAGATAAGTAAAGTTGTAATCCCAAGTAATGAATTTTCATTATATAAGACACTTCATTGGATCATTTAATTGAAATCATGCCGCCTGCCTTAACAACTTTTCTGTATTGTCTTTTGGATGATGGCGCATACACGGCATTATATAATACTTGTTGACTGAATTCGTAAATTTCTGGCTTTGGCATAATGTAAAGTATCTATAAATATACATTTTTTTCTCTTTTTCATTTCGGTTTAGCATTATAAATGCAACATGTGTACGGATCCAAAACTATCGTAAATACATAAAACATTCATTGGTTTTGCACGTTATACAATGAACTTAGACGATATCTAACAAGTTTAGCTGATCATGAAATAAGCAAAATTGAAAATGGTGCATACGTTCCGCATGGTATTGTTCTTTCCTTTAGGGGACAAACCTTAATCAAGTGGGTCTAGACACTGTCGACTTTAATACGGAAACAATAGATGGGAAAGTTACATTCCATTCAATGCACAAGGCTGTGTTTCAAATAGTGACATTAGTTGTAGACCCCTGTTGAGGATATAAGGATAACACGTGCTCAATGACGTTCACTGCGTGTTACGAAGGAAACATTTAATGTTAATCGTTGCCTCCCTTTCAGTAAACCAAAAGAAAGATTAGAACCTACTAGATGTGAAAATGCTCATACACAAATTATGTCGTGTAATGTTCAAAATGCAGAAATATCCAACGTTTCATGGGTATTTCTAAGACTTTTATCTAAAAATGCTTTCGAGTTCCCAATTGTTTTTTCCCAAAAACCCATTGACCAACAAACTATTCCATTTTGGACCGGATATCACAAAGCAGCTCTGCAACACTGCCCACTTGTCAGTGCAGTAGCATATGCACCTATAGTCGATGCAAAACCAAGTGAAATGGCAACTGTTTATACAACGATGAAAAGATGTGTTGACATGTGTAAAAAAAGCCGGTAACTTTGTGCGACTTGATAATAGTTTCAATCACTCAGAGAGAAAACGTTACGTAACATACGTTACCGTCAAAATTGACAAAAGTTGATTAATACATTTATTTTGTATTTACATTGTATCAAAGATCAAATTTATTTGTTCAGTGTATGTTCACTGGTGTTATTATAATATGTCTTTTGATTGAGTTAAGCCATTTCAATTGACATTTTATCGTGTGTCTTTCTATGTTGTGATGTTACACTATTATTTCAGATAAGGGTGAAGGTTTGGTACCATTAAAACGTTTAAACCCGCTGCAATTGTTTGCACCTGTCCTAAGTCAGGAATCTGATGTTCAGTAGTTGTCGTTTATTGATGTGGTCCATAAGTGTGTCTCGTTTCTCGTTTTTTTTATATAGATTAAACCGTTGGTTTTCCCGTTTGAATGGTTTTACACTAGTAATTTTTGGGGCCCTTTATAGCTTGCTGTTTGGTGTGAGCCAATGGCTACGTGTTGAAGACCGTACTTTGACCTATAATGGTTTACTTTTATAAATTTTGACTTGGACGGAGAGTTGTCTCAATGACACTCATACCACATCTTCTTATATCTATTTGATAGCAATATCATTTTCTAGCATTTATAGAGTTTTCTAATATTTTTGTTTCCTTTCGTGCATTGAAATTATACACCTGACATTTTACCCCGATTAGAAAACAATTGAACCATAATTTCTTTTGACGACCGTGATACTCTAAGCTTGCCATTGGCAGATATAATTTAGCTGTATGTTAGGTAGGTATATTAAAATGAATCTTTGGCTCTCATGTCACTCGCTTGTTAGTTTAGATAGTAAAAGATATTTACGTAATGTTAAATGCAGAAAATAAGTGTAAACTAAGGCTACAGAAGTTTACCGATTTTCAAATGTTATCAATCGATTAACAAATCAAATCAAAGAAACGAATAAAAACTGTAGGAATCGCATGGATTCCGGATTCAGATTTTAAAAGAGCAATGGTAAATTGTTGACGGTTGACAATCACTGTACACTTAAGCTGCTACTGTAAAACTTACTTTTGATTTTTTTTTTGAAAAAGCAATACACCATGCACAACTTGCTGCAATAGATACAACTACAGCTCCAACTGACATCAAAACCAATCCCGTCGATCCTTCTGTATTCCGCCTTATGGTTATTATAAAATTGCCCAGTGCTAAAGAAATTAGGGCTGTTATCATCCATACTAGTAAACAGGCTAAACATGAGCACGTCTGGCTGTTAAGTATTCTGTAGTACTTTATAAATGTATGATTATTCACATACGATATCACAGTCCTGACTTGTTCTTCACACTGTAAAGGTAAACAAAAATACTAATTACAAAATTGTAAGGCAAAGATAAAGACGACAGTAGTTTACCGATGTTCAAATCTAGTAAATCGATTAGAAAAAGATAAATCAAATTAACATACAAAAAATGAAGACTTTTGAATGCATCACCACCCAGGAAAAAGTAAAATAATAAAAATATTGAACTCCAAGGAAAATTCAAAACGGAAAGTCCCCTATCAAATGGCAAAATTAAAAGCTCAAACACATCAAACGAATGGAAAACAACTGTCATATTCCAGACGTGGTACATGCATTTCCTTATGTAGAAAATGGAGGATTAAACCTGGTTTTATAGCTAGCTAAGCCTCTTACTTATATGACAGTCGCATAAAATTTCATTATATTGACAACAATATGTGAACAAAACAAACATACATAATAGATAAAAATGTCAAAAATAGAGGTACAGCAGTCAACATTGTGTTATAATCGTAATCACTATAAAAACAAACAAATATGTCAACAAAGAAAACCAAAATGGCATATAGATAAAGCACTCAAGCAAAAATGAAAGACAAGAATACAAAAAATGACGATAGCACAATAATACAAAGGCGGGATGTATAAGTACCGAGCCAAGCCAAGAGGATATTATCAAAAATAGACTAAACAATAAAGTAAATAATTTACAAACTCAGACTCCGTGAAAATGCAACAATCGGGAATAGGACACAATCGGTAATATTACAAACCAGACGACTATTGGGGATTCATTTAGGTTCGTGGTTGCCATTTTTTGTAACTGGTGCATCAAAAATCTCTCATTCTCTTGTCTCCCTTGCGTGTCCCAACTTTGGTTTTTCTCAATGATTTGAAATTTGACGTTTTCAAAATCATGCCCTTCTCTTTAAAGATGTCTTGTGAATAGGCAGTTTCTTTCTTTTGTATAAAATGACCGATGGTTATTCAGTCGGTTGTTGAATGGTGTTTCTATTTCACCAACATACTTCACCTTGCAAATTCCAAAGCTTAGAACATAAATACAATTTTGCGTTTTGCAATTGGATGTTATAAATATGTTGCATATATTTTTTATGACTGTGCTGACGAATTGGCGACTTTACAGCACTTACAGTTGGCTCTTCCGCATGGTTTATAACCTCCTATGTTCGATGTCTCTTGTTAAGTTACTTTAGATGTAACTAGAATATCTTTGAGGTTTTTTGGTCTGCGGTAAGCCATGACGGGAAGTGATGGAAAAATCGCTTTTAAGGAAGGATCATTTTCAATAAGACGCCAGCGTTTGTGGACAATAGATGAAAGATTTGTCAGGTCAGGATGAAAGCTGACAGCAAACGGAATTGTATTTGTTTGGGCCGTCTTTTCTTTGTATTCAAGTAGGTTTGTTGGGTCTTTTTCGTTTGCTTTACCGAAAGCTTCTAAAATGTTTTTGTTCTTATAACCTCTTGATTTAAGTTGCTGTCTGAGTTGTCCCATACGGTGGTTTAATTTTAACTCCGATGAGCAAATCCGCTTTAACCTGATAGCTTGGCTGCACAGAATGCTTCGGGAACAGTGTTTTGGGTGACAAATCTTCGGAGAGAGTAATTGGTGTTTGTCAGTTTTCTTTGTGTAAAGGTCGGTTGTCATGACTCCGTTTTCTAAAGTTATGGTGGTGTCGAGAAAAGCAATTTTCTCATTCTAAACTTCAGACGTGAACTATATAGATTGATGAAAGTTATTGCAAATATCTAGAAAATCTTGCGGTTTCGTTCCATTTGATGTCGATGTCATCAATATAACGGAGCCAAGACAAGGGTTTGTATGGAACACACGAAAGAATGCGTTCTTCGAGATTCCCCATGAAAATTTTGGCAAAAGAAGGTGCTATTTTGGTTCCCTTACTGGTACCGTCAATCTGCAAGTAGTGCTGATGTTGAATACAAAAATGTTGTTTTCGAGCGCTAGTTTCAGCAAAAGAACCAGATAGTCGGTTGGGGGATGTTTATCCTTACGATTATTTTATTCCTTTTCTCAAGCGACTTCTCCTTCACTCTTTGGAATATTAGTGTATAAAGAACACACATCCATCGATACCAAATTTGTGTTGTTTAGTAAGGGATTTAATGAATCCATTTTCTTCAAATAATCTGTTGTATCTTGAATGTAGGATGGCATTGTTCTAACATGGTCTAAGATGGTTTCAACGAATTCAGATATTTTTTCGGTTGGGTGGTCATTTTTAGATACTATCGGTCTTCCCGAAATCCCTTCTTTATGAAGTTTTGGGAGCAAGTAAAAACGACCGGCTGTGCAGGTTTCATCAGGGCGTAGATAGTCGTACGTGTCGTCATCTATGTGTTTTTTTGCTAATTATGTCTGAAAGGACCTCATTTATTGTTTGCTAATTTCTTTTGTAGGATCACATTCTAAATGTTTGTGAAATTTGGTGTTTGAGAGCTAACGATTGCCTTCCTCAATGTAGTCGGTTTTGTTCATCACAACAACTGCACTTCCTTTGTCTGCTTGTTTAATAACAAAATCATCTCGTTTTTTAAGTTGTTCATGGCCTGGTTTTCTTGCTCTGAGATATTCCGTATGCGTTTGCCACTGACTGATGATTTTACTTCAGTTTAAATAGATGATATAAAAGATTCTAAATTATCGTATTACTTCTGGGTGGATTCCATTCGCTTTTCTTTTTAAATCTAGGGATGCACATGTCTTCTTTATCACTCTCATATTCAGAATAATTAATTCCGGATTCCTGTAAATTTTTTTTGTGTTGCCTATTAAAATGTTTCTTTAGGCGAAGACTATAAATAGCAACACATAACATACAAATCTATTTGAGTGTATATTAATCAGTACAAAGATTAATACAATTACACATATGAAATTATAAATTGTCTAACAATGTAATTTTAACACTGTTTAGTATGTAAATATTAAAATGTTAAAAATGTTTACAATGCGATAAAAAATCAACGCAATATTTCGTTAGTTTGGATGAAGTTATAAATGATCTTGAACTTCATCCAAACTTTGAATTATTTACAAGGCAACAAAATCCATGTATAATGAGCTGCAAAAGTGTCTTATCTGCATCCGATTTCACATGGAAAGTTGCATGCTCGATGAAGCTAGTTTGTCTAGCGATTTATTGCGTTAATTTTTTAACGCATTGTAAATATTTTGAACATTTTAATATTTACATACTAAATAGTGTGTCAAAATTACATTGTTAGTCAATTTAACGTCTAGATATTAGTCAACGACCTTTCTTACGAGGGCGCTGGCTTGTTACGAGTAACGATACCTGTACACAATAAATGAATTATGCATACGCCTAAACAATATACAAAACAACACCAATATAAAAAAAGGAAACATTAAACATAAGTATCTATAAATATTTTGGATAACAGATAACCTTCATCAGTAATTACAACAGAGGCCGCGTATTAACACATCCCAAATAAATAGCAGTTTGATTTGAACTGGCGTAACTGTTAAATTTGAAATTTGACAAAGGCTAAGTAATTACACCGTGGCTGCGTATTTATACATCCAAAATGAATAGCACCCTGCGATTTATACTGGTGTACTGCTAGAATTTCTGAGTTGACAAAGGTAAAGGAATAGCAACAGAGATTGCGTAGTAATACCATCCAAATGAACAGCACTGCGCGAATTAGAACTACATCTTTTCAGTGATCCCATTTGGTGCTAAGGTTTTTAATTTTCTTATTCAAAGTCTTTCCCGAATGAGTCTATCCTCCCTACACCAAGCAGTGTTGTGGTCTATGATGGTAATGGTCAGTCGATTGAGATCTGCCTTAGTGTGGCCAGGGGATCTCAAATGTCTACTGAGAAAAAGGTCTGGCTTTCATAAATAGTCACTACGACGGCCGTTCATACGTTCGTGAAATTGCTGACTCACCAACATACTGTTTACCACATTTACATTGTAGAAGATACACAGCATTTGTAGTCTTGTAATTTACATTGCAAAATATGGTGCATTGCGTACCAGTGGAATGACTGTTAAAAGTCTGGATATTCAGCATTTGCTTGCAAGTCAGACATCGTTTGTTTCCACATCCCTTGCAAGAGCATACAGACTAAGAGCCTGATTTAGAGGATAAATCAGCTCTCGTCAGCAAGTCTTTTAGGCTTTTTGCAGAAAGCCAGTACGGGTGGCTCGGTGAAGATCTTGGATAGTTGAGTATATTTTTCGATTTCTTTCCAATTTTTGCGGGTAAGGTGTGATAACTTGTCAAATTTGGTATGGTTAGTTAGCACAAACGGCAATCTTTTGTTGACCTTTTTCTCTTTATTGTAAAAGTTCAACTCGGTTAAAGTTGTCAGCACAAGAGAAACCTCTAACAATGGCTTTTCTTCTGTAGCATCGATTTTTTTAGGTGAACGCGAAGTTCTTGTAGTCGCCTTTTTTGTAGTATCATTGGTAGAGCAAATCCGTTTTATTCGGATGGCATGGCTGTAGGTAATGCTCTTAGTTTAATGTTTAGGATGACAACTCTGGAGAGAAAGATATTGATGTATGTCTGTGGGCTTGCAATACAGATCTGTAAAAATGGTCCCATCCTTCACTTGCGTAGCAATGTCAAGAAATGTAATCTACCAGTCAGAGATTTCCTAAGCGAATTTTATTGAGGGATGGGCATCGTTGGCCTGTTGAATGAACACATTGAGTTCTTGTTCAGTATTATCCCACTTCATGTCAATATCGTCGATGAATAGGAACCAGAGAAAGGTTGATAAAGGGAAGAATTGAAAATTTTCTGTTCTAATTTGCCCATGAAAATATATATATAGCCGAAAAGCGTTCAATTTTGTAATGTATATAAAACACACATGTGAGTATTCCACATTTTATCCAAACGCTTATTGTCACGAGAGTTTAACATGTTAAGAGTAGTTATTATTGTAACGCACATAAAAACGAAGAGACACACTACTCATGCGTTTTCTTATGTTGTGAATATTGATACTTAGC